CCTGCCCCCACCTCGGCAGATAGGACAGCTACGGTGAGGATGATGTGGATGTTCACAAGGATGCCCAAGGAGAGCTGCGCCAGCACAGCATTCTATATATCGTCAAATAGAACTGCCCGGTAAACCGTAGGCATATATATATATTGTCACATGATATCAGAGCGCCAAAGCGAAAAACAGAAACAAGAAAAACTTAATTCATTTTTAATCTTCTTCCTTTATACACTGAATCAGAGCGCGAAGGCGAAAAAAGGCAAAACAGGGAAAGGAAAAGGAGGAAGGAAGGAAGGAAAGCCCCACCTGTGCATCAGCTCTTACGTACAAGGCCAGCCACGTGGATGACAGGTTGAGCGCTGGCTGCCCCCATGCCCGTGTGTCACAAGGACCCACTTGCACGCAGCCAAAAGGCAAAGAGGTAAAGAAAAGGAGGAGGAAACCAGACCTCACAGAGGCGAGAAAAAGATAAAGGGATCCAATCAAAGAAAAGACCAGGGAAGAAAGCAAATGACACATCCCACAGAAAGCAAATGACACATCCCATATATCTTTTTTAATTTGATACATCCTGATTTATCCTAACTAATTTAATATATACTTAATATATACAATAAAAAAAAGCCGTTCGATCTACATTCCCATCACATTATTTATTTTTTCTTTAAGAAGTACACAATCAAAACCTTTCCCGCTCTAATTACCTTTTCACTTTCTTGATTCATCAACATAAGGGACTACCCACCACGATCTTACGCACCTTCCCGCCAATTTTATACACTTTCCCGCCAATTCATACACTCTCCAGCCATTTTATCTTACGCACCTTCCCGCCCATGTTACACTTTCCCGCCAATTTATACACTTTCCCGCCATTTTACGCACCTAAGATATTACCAAAAAAGACACGCACTTCAAAAAAAAAAAGAGGAATTATGAGCGAGAAAAAGCAGGAGCTTTCTTTCTCCCCCCCTCCCCCCAATATTCCGTACGGTGATTAGTCGTGTATTCGGATCACCTTTCGGTCTGGATACCTCGATAAGGACCACAGCTGCCCCGGTATCCCGCTCCTCTACCCCCTCTTCCCTCTCCTTCCCACCCCTCCCACCTTCCATATACCAACAGAAAAACGAAACAAACAACACACTCCCCCAAAATTCCTTCCATACTTTTCCAACCCCCATTAGCATCTTTTCTTTCCCCCAATATAACGTGCGGTGATCAGACCTGTATTTGGTCCGGCTTTCGGTCTAGATACGGTAATAATTACAGCACGTTCTCTTCGGGTAAAGACGGTAAGGTAACCCTCAGGTCGACCGTTCCCTCCTTGCCTGTTTTCTTGAAATATGTAAACACCCCCCTCTTCGCAATTTTTGAAATTTAAATTTTGGACTTATTTTCTACGTCAATAAATTCATAAACACTCGCTTACTTACACATCCGATTTCGATGACAGATTTTTTTTGGTCAAAATTATGGACAAACTTGCGTATCTCATTTAAAAAAAAAAAAAAGAAGAAAAAGATGCGGATTTTATCTGTTTCTTTGCTTTTTTGCATCCAATCTCTCTCTCTCTCTCTCTCTCTCTCTCTCTCTCTCTCTCTCTCTCTCTCTCTCTCTCTCTCTCTCTCTCTCTCTCTCTCTCTCACCTGAATGGTCTTCCCGAGGCCCATTTCATCTCCAAGGATGACATTCATCCTGCCCTTGTACTTGTTAATGAGCCACCGCAAACCTTCCTCCTGATAGCTGCGCAACTTCCTTCCGTCCTTGAATTCTGTCTTGAGGTCCTCTGTCCCTCCATTCTCTCCTCCTCCTCCCCCTCCTCCCCCTCCTCCCCCTCTCTGCTGCGCTCCTCTCGGCGGATCATTCAACGCTTCAAACCTGGCTATCGCTTCTCTGTCGTCCTCCCCCTGCACTAATTCACTCTCCCACTCCCACGTCGATTCCGCATATGGCAACCCTACCCATTTCACCAGGTAGCTCTTCTTATTCCCCTTTTGCCGCATTCCAATCACTCTATCCACCATCGTGTACTCTGCTTCGAACGCTGGCCCTCCTTCATCTTCCATGAGGTGCCCCTCCCTCCTCCCCATATCGCCCAATCTCCTCAGAAAGTGCGTCGTCAGCATCGCGCTCACATTCATCAGCTCACTCTGCCTCATCCATGCCAAATCTCTAAAGCTCCTTCCATGCAGTTTCACGAAGAATTCATTCTCTTTCCCGCTCTGCCTCTTCATCGCCAATATCTTCTGCACTTTCTCCACCTGGGTAGCCGCAGCGCCCCCCCCTCCCGCGGTCCCTCCTACCCTTAGTCCATCTTCCTCGCCGCTCGACGACCCCTCTCTCTCGCTCCAATCCCCATCCTCTTCCGCGTTGCCATCCTCCTCTCTCCCTCCTCCTCCTCCTCCTCCACGTCGTTCCTGTGCATCCGGCTCCATCATATCTCTCCTTCTGCTGCTCATCCTCGCAGAGCCGTGACCTTTCCTCCCTTTCTCCCCTGCTGCTGCCGATGCTCCTCCCTTCTGCTGCCTCTCCTTCCCCTCCATTTCCTCTCCGTATTCGTCCTCATAATCATCTTCATCATCATCATCATCATCTTCGAAATCGTCGTCGTCGCTTGAAACTTCTTTCATCGACGGCCGAGCACTAACCCTAGACGACCGCCTCTGAGGGACACTAAGCAGGTCTGCTCTCTCCGCCATAGCCAGCTTGTCGTCTCTCTCCTGCAGCCTCTGCTGACCC